AGTGGTATTTTTGTAAATAGACACTTCTAATTGGTATTCTTGCAAATATGCACACAAAAAGTAGCATTTTTGTAATTGCCCCAAGATTTTAATTGTATGTCTCTTTTTTTTCTCAATTTAATTAATTTTTCTAATTTGTTAGATAATTCTTTTAGTAATTATAAAATTTTACATATTGTTATATATTGTTTGTGTTTTATTTCAATACATTGTAACAAAGTCCATCAAATACTGAAAACAAACAGTAATATATATTTATATTTTTATAAATGGTCAAAATCATGGTTATTATTTATTAAATAAAAAACTAATCTATTCTCAGTAAACAAATTTATCTCCGCATACAGTGTGGATTAGTCACATAGTTTTTAATTATAAACAATTATATAAACAACATAAAAAAAAAAAAACAAAGACACTTGGTAGTTGTTACTATATTCTATAAAGAAACTTATTATGTACAGTGTCAGTGAGTTTCTACTATCGTTGGTTCATTATGGTTATTATTGGGCTTCTACTATCGTTGGTTCATTATGGTTCTTTTTGGGTTTATAGGACTTATTTTTCTAGAGTAACGCTTTTGTAATATGTGGGTTCTTATTGGGTTTAATCTATTTTTAATATGTTTTATAGTCGGATATCAAATTTTAGTATTTATTGAGTTTCCCAATCTTATTCTATCTCCCGAATTTAAGGCATAATTACTAATATCTTGCTAGTCCTAATTTTTCTTGGCACAGTTGAAGCCAAGGATGAAGCTTCGAGAGAAGATTCATCTTTTTATTTGCTCTGAAATTGCAAGTGTGAATGTAGAGACATTCTTGGATTCTGAGCATAGCTTCCTTTAAATTGCATATGCTTTTCCTTGCTTTGGTTTTTTTGTTCATTCTTGGAATAGAAAGTTCACAATCACATCACGTGATCATAAAAAAATGGTGGAGCCATTCATTAAACTTTAACTTTAGACAGTGATTTTTGTTGACGAATTTTCCACTAACACTCTCCAAGTCAATACATTGAAGGGTTATTTGGTTGTATAACTATAAAAAAACCTATAATATATAATCTAACCAAAAATTTCGTATGTGGCTAAATCATATCCACTAAATTTGTGGTTAGATTATAGATTATAATTATTTTTTGTTATCAACCAAATTAACCCTACATAGGATCAACGTTTTATGTACTCAATTATATAAAAAATTGACTCCATGTTTCATTCTTTCTCCACATGTATCTCTTTAGAAAGCTCACTGATCCTCTCTAACACACAAATGGATTCTTCTTTTTTCCTTACCACTGTTGCTGCTGCAATAGGCATCTTCACTCTTTTTAAAAAACTCACATTCCATCAAGAAAACAAAGAAATCGA